AAAAAAAAAAAAAAAAAAAAAAAAGACTAAGCTCCCAAGACCTAAGCAGCCCAGAGATGAGGAGAAACAGCATTAGCAGGAAAGGGATGTCAAAGCTCTAGATTGGAGCCACTGGGGTCTCTAGCAGTGGGCAGAACCTGTCCCATCAGGGGTTACATCACAGCAGTGGATCAGAGTGCCAGCCTGCCTAAAGCCTGTGGCCAGGCCTCTGTGCCAGGGGACTGACCAGGCCCTGCCCCATGCCAACACCTGGCACTCAGGAGCAGGGCTAGTCCCATCCGAACTCCACAACATGACAGAAGGTTTCAGATCCCCTTTCTCTCACCATCCTGTCCCATGCTTCTCTGTTCCACTCAAACCCATGCTAATTCAGTTATTCTGTTCCACCTAGAAAAAAGGAAGTGAAAGGCCTCACAAGCACCAAGTCTCACCATGTCTATGTCACTTCCAGTCCCCAAGCCCTCCCCTATAACTATGTCCATTGTTGGGTTTGAGCCAGGGCTTGTGCACGCTAGGGAAGTGCTTTACCAGAGTCACACTGTCAGTCTTAGATTTCCATTATCTGTTTTCATTTCATGTCTTTAAAGAGATTGTTTTAAGACAACTTTGACAGGCCTGGAGGTGTAGACCTTATGGGAGTCTAAGGCAGGAGGACTGTGAGTTCAAGTCCTGGAAGGGCTACAGAGTAAATTCGAGGCCAGCCTGAGCAAAGCAGTGAGACCCTGTCTCAAAAAAGAAAATAGCTAGTGGTGTATCTCTGTACTAAAACACTGCCCAGCATTTATGCATGTATGTGGCCTGGGATGTGATCCCTAGTCAGGAGAAAAAAACGTATTTTGTTACCTGTAGAAGATCTTCACTGAGGACTTCTGTTTTCTCAGCTCTATGGGAAAAACGAAATTCAGAATTAGAAGAGCAGGAAAAGTAATCTGTGAAACTTAAAAATGGGTAACTGGGGATTTCCAACCAAACAGGCAGGAAGAAATTTACACTGGAGGGCAACTTAAGAAAAACAAGCAGAGAGACTGAACAGCAATCCAACACAAGAGCCCATGGCGTGGGACAGTGGCCCTCAAGCCTGCTGTGGAGAGTCACTCACAGCCTTTCTCCGGGACTGGTCACACAGCATTCTAGACTGACTCCATGTCTGGAATACCATACTGCATTGTGGAAGGTCCACACAGGCTATGCTTTGAGAACGATCTTATGAAGGCTCAACTTCAGGCACTAAAAAGATCCACCTAAGTTTTCACAGCCAGCCCTACTAAGAAAAGTTTGTCCTACATCTCCAAAGCTTGGGTCTCACACATCACAGTAGCAAATTTTCCCTTTAATTTCACAGGGAAAGAAAGCTACAGTGTCCTCTTTGCAGTGCTCACAACAACTGCTAGATTGGCTGAACTTCACAGCTATCAAAAAAAAGGCATGTCTAGGCCTCTGGAGTCTAAAGCTGAAGAAAATTCCCCAAAGACCCAATTGCTCAAGACCAGCTGCCATTAGTAGGAAGGTAATTTTAATAGATCCGGCCTAGCTATTAGGTCATTGGGCACGCCCTTGGGTAAGAGTTGGTCATCCCAGCCCTTTCCTGTCTCTCATGGTTGTTTTGACACCATGCAGTGATCAGGCCTTGCTTATATTCCTATGATATTCTGTGCCACCACAGGCCCAAAGCAAAAGAGCCAGGCAACAATGGACCAAACCTATGAAGCCATGAGCCAAAATAAACCTTTCTTCCTTATCTGTTTCACATGGGTACATGTGCGTGTGTATACATGTTCCCAAGTGTGTGGCAGCATAGATGCACACGCATTTGTGTAGGTACGAATATGAAAGACAAATGTTGATGTCTGGTGTCTTCCTCAATTGTTTTCCACCTTTTATAATGAAGCAGTGTCTCCCACTTGAACCCAGAGCTTACAGAGCCAGCTAACCTAGCAAGCAATCTTGTCCTGAGGATACCATATCAGCCTATCACACCCACCAGCTTTTTTACCTGATGGTTGGGGACCTGAAGTCTGGTCCTCACAAACTCACGGCCACCTTTTCTCAAGTGGCAAGTACTTTGTCACAGCAGAGAATGCTTATCTCGGCAGTCCTTAGGGCTGCTTACTGACATAAAACCCGAAAGTCCTGGAGTCCAAAGTATTATTGTGGAATTGTGGTTCAATTTGTGATTTGAAAAATTGTTTGCAATACTTACCAAATTTCTGTTAAAAATGAACAAGGGCAGTTTCAAGGAAAAAAAAAAATTCTGAATAGTTAGGGTAGTTGAGAAGAAGCCCAAATGAACTAGAAATCTGAGACCCTCCCTGACTTTCAAGACAGGGTCTCAATATGTAACACTGGCCTAGAAACCACTCTGCAGACCAGGCTGGCCTCAAATTTAGAGACCCACCTGCCTCTGCCCCCCAAGTGCTGGGGCTAAAGGTGTACACCACCCTCTTGCAGAAATGACTTTTTAACAAACTATGACAGAATGTAGGGCTGCATAATCTTAGCCTTGACCCAATAGAAAAGAGGGAGAAGCTGTTTGTCCAAAAAGTGAGGGAGTCTCTCAAAATGACCTGAAAACACAGCTAAGAGGAGCCCCATGTATAAGCAAGGGAGAGAAACATCAGTGCCCCTCCAGCCTACGCTTGGGGACAGTGGCATGTTTATCACAGTGGGCATTGCTACAGAAGATTCCAGGACCAGGTGTGATACAGTGTCCCAGTTAACCTAAAGGTGCCTAGAGGAGTGGCTCACCAGATTCTGCAGGTCACCAGAACGCTGCCCTGATTCAAATGCCTCCCCAGACCAGAGGAGCTAAGGCTGGAAAGAGAGCCTAAGCCCCAGTGAGTGGAAGTGGAACTCTGAACTCCATGAAGGAGTTCCACAGCAGCAGCTAACACTCTTAGCCTTGGCTTGAGTGGCATGGGCATTGAAGGATCTTATGTAGCCCAAGTTGGCCTTATTATGCAGTTAAGTATGATCTTGAATTTCTGGTTCTCCTGCCTCTACCTCCCAAGTGTTGGGATTATGGAGGCATATTATCATACTGGCCTTTTTCTTTAAATTTTGGAGATCTAGGTTTTTAAGACTTGTGAATTTGTAAGAAGTGATATAATAACCACAAATAAAATTAAGCAAATATAAACACAAAACAGGCAATAACTTAAAAAAACCTAAAAACCAAAGGTCCATTAGGAAGACAGTCACAATACTGAGCTGCAAATAATTAGTCCTAATAATTTAAGTATCAAATAGTAATATAGCCAAAAATTATAGCAAGGCTGTATTGGAAGGCTCTACAAGAGTCCTCTAATCAAACAATAGCAGTTTATACATATTGTTTATAAACACAGATGTCGGTAACTGTCATAATAAATGGCTTTAATTCCTTACTTGCTGCTTCTGGGGATGGAGACTCTAGAAAAGTAAAGGGAGAACCAACTGTATTTGGTGACAAGCCTTTCTTACAATTACACACATATATAGTCTGTCTGTCTGTCTCTGTCTCTCTGTCTCTCTGTTGCTCTCTCTCTCTCTCTCTCTCTCTCTCTCTCTCTCTCTCGTTGGAGATCAGGTTGGGGTGCTGCAATTTGCAACAATTTTTATTTTCAATAAAATATCAATAAACTATAACCCTCACATAAAGGAAAAGGCAGAGGTAGAGGTAAGGTGTCTTCGTTGACCTCCACCTTACTTTTTTGGATCAGCCTCTCCAATTCTGCCAGGCTGCTCAGCAATCTCTACCTCAGCACTGGTGTGAGCCACCACATTTGGCCTTTTCTGTATGGCTGCTGGGGAAATCAAACACAGATTCTCATGCTTGCACAGCAAGTGCTTTCAAGACCAAGCCATCTCTACGGCACACCCACCTGACATTTTGAAAACTGTGCTACTGGTATTTTTACATGGTGAGCTTTATATGGTTAGAATTACTTGTTACTTATGACAATGGGTGCAACTATCAATATCTACAAAAACTAACAGAGCAGCAAAATACCCAAACCCTCAAAGTACCTAAAATAGAAAGGAAATCTACAGTATTAGTATCCTTTTCCCAAATTAACTGGATCATATTTGCTTTACATTTAAAGATGGGATGGCAGAGATGGCTCAGAGGTTAAGAACAATGGTTGTTCTTCTGGGCGGCCTGAGTTCAATTTCCAGCACCCATGTAACTGTCTATGACTCCAGTTCCAAGGATCCAATGCTCTCTTCTGGTTTCCTCAGATACCAAGCAAGCACACAGTATACAGATATATATATATATATATATATATATATATATATATATATACAAAACACATACATAAAATAAAGCAATTTTAAAATAAAAGACTGAATTTAAAGACACTTGATCTGTAAAGGTATTGGAAGCCAAGAAATACAATGTACATATTATGTTGAAGTGTTAACAACATACTGTTTAACAATGAATCTGCCTGCTTTTGTGGATACAAAATTACTTTTAGAAAATGAACCAATCTGGATCTTAATCAGATACTAGGGTTCACTGAAAATATTAAAAAAACAGTCTAGGAATTAGGAAACATTGTTTTAAATTGCCAAATCCTGATTGTGGAGTGTAACTGGCAAATGGGCGGGGCTCTCTCCACATACAGATTATCTGCTGGCCTGTGCTATCTCTACTGAAGCTCCTCACCACCAGTGACTCAGTCTGCCCTCTTCAATGTGACAGTCCAAGGCTCTATGCTCAACTGTATTCATTAGTGTATGTTAGTGACACTGTCTAATATATGTATGAAATACTTAAATTTTACTTATACCACCCCAATGTATATTCTCCTACCCTTCTTGATGGTCCCTTCCTATTTCCTAAATAATCTCCGTTTTGTTTTTAGTAACAATTTTGAAGGTATTCATCTTTACCAGAGATATAAAATTCTTACCTGGGGAAAGGCCAGCAATTATTCAGAATACTGGCCAAAGTGTACACTCAGTAAGGAAGTAAACCAGCTGTAAAAATTTGCAGGATTTCCTAAGATGTACTAAATTTATTGACTATAGTGCTTTCTCATAAAGTAAATGATAATTGTGTTAACTCTGACTGGTTGTCATCATTTTTAATTTGTTAGAACAAAGATTGGGAACAATGGATTGAACTAAGATATCTAAAGGTGGGAATAAAACAAGCCAATTGAACAAGAGGTTTGCTAGGCAAGAGTTTTGAGCCAGACATCTCACTACAGACTTCAACTCTGTACTGTCAGAGCTTCTTTGTGTTCAATGTTCTGTGCTTGAAAACACACTCCAAGTTTCCTGTCTGTAACTGGAAACAATAACACTCAGGAAGGAACTTCCCACTCGCCATGCTACTCTGGGGCTTGTTTTTTCCTATGCAGGCCACCCTGCCACCTCACAAGGCATTCATATACAGCTTACTCCACACAGAATATTCTTTCTTTCCTTTTTTAATATTTGTGTGGGTGTTATATGCATGTGTGCATACATGTGTGTATAGGGAGGCCAGAAAAGGACATCAGGTGTCTTCTATCACTCTCTTGAGACACAGTCTCTTACTGAACCTGGAGATCACAGTTTTGGTTGGGTGGCAATTAAGCTCCAGGAGTCTGTTGGTCTCTGTGCCCCCTTACAGGAGTCACAGACTTTTATGTGGGTGCTAGGGATTCAAACTAAGGTCATGTTAGTTCAGCAAGTGCTCTGATCTGCCAAACCACCCCTCCCCACTCTAAACTACGAACTCCCTAGGCTGGATTTTTCCTGTAGTTTTTCTAAAGCCCTAAGATTTCTCCCTAGAATTCTCAAGGTCTCAGAATATCAAATGCCACTGTTGTAAACTTCCATCTTGTCTCTTGTGTGCACACCACTACACAAACACTTGTCTAGAACATCTGTTATGGGAACCATGG